TATATATATTTTTTTTTTTTTTTTTTAACCAATTTTTGATTTTTGGTAAAAGTTTGTCCACCTCTGGTCAAAATGGTTGGACCTGGACCGGGAAGTTAGATTATTATTGTTTAAAGTATGATCATACCTAGATCACAAACTAAAATGCTTCATCTCTCTTATCCAGTGATGGAAGTTTGGCCACCAAGCAGATCATTTTCCTCCAAAGACCAATGTTGCCTCGCAAGAAGAAGGAATCCAAGGTGTGTGACCTCTTATTCCAGCCGCATTACTGACATACTGCTGTCAAATACACACACACACACGGTTAATATCATATTCCTCACATTCTCTTTGCTTCAAACATTGCTGAAACATCTACGTAGTTTGTGTTAGCAACCAAAGTCACACACCAAGTGTTTTTACAGGGTTCAGTGCAGGCATCAGGCATTTCTTTAAAGCACCACATAAAATGGGGCAGAAAGCACAAGATGCTCGAACAGAACAATGCATAATTTAAACAAAGATTTAGCTCCATGTCACTTCAAAGAAAACCAGAGCGAGTGTGTGCTTAGTGGGTGTTACTGCGTGTTTGGCTTTCCTGATGATATTTACTTACACGCCAGTGTTGACTTTTTACATTTTTGGGTAGAAAGGGCCAATGCAAATGAACTGAGCTAAGCTTTAATCAACCCGTCACACTTGTCATCAGTTGTATATGTAATTCAATATGGGAATTTGTATTCACAACCATAACAGAGGAGAGAATCTAAATGAACTTTTTCCGAAAACAAAAATGTCATGTGGCATGCAATTCCTGAGCTTCCTGTCTCATACATCTCGTGGTTGCATGAGGACACCACAGCTTTGTGTGTACGGTTTTATGTAAGCATCATCTCTCATATTCATAAGTGCAATACGGCAACAATCATTGGCATTTACTCCACTGGAAGAAAACAGGGCTAAAAACTAAAGTTAAAAAAATACTTAATGCAAATGAAGGACAGAAAAGTGGCAGGCGGTGTGGAGTTTCAGTGCTTAAATGGATAAACATGGATTTATTGTCAGTTTGTTTAATAATGATGATGCCGGTTTGCTATTTGAACAGGTTTAATAAAGATTTAAAAAAGCATAAATCGTTTGATTATATAGTACTATATCTAATTCAGATTTGAAATGCACACACACCCACACTCTTGAAAGAAGTCTCTCATATTCACCAAAGCTGCATTCATTTCATAAAATCCTCGTTGAACAAAGCTATTCATTTCTTCTTTTTTTTATCACTTATCCAAAACTTTTGAATGGTAATCTATCACAGTTTCCACAAAAATACAAAGCAGCAAAAACTGTTTTCAACATTGATGATCATAATACATGTTTCTTGAGAAGCAAGTCAGCATATTAGAATGATTTCTGAAGGATCATGTGACACTGAAGACTGGAGTAATGATGTTGAAAATTCAGCTTTGATCACAGAAATAAATTACATTTCAAAATAGAAAACAGTTATTTTAAATGTAATAATATTTAACGATATTACTGCTTTACTGTATTTTCAAATCAAATAAATGCAGCCTTGGTGAGCATAAGTGACTTCATGAAGGTGTTTATACGTTCTCCGTGAACAGTTCATGCTTCCTCAGATTGTTTGTCAGTGATCAAACATTATCAAAATGATCTGGTTGAAGGTCTTCTGACATTGGGTTAGTTATGGTGGAGCATGACAGGTTTCTGACACTTACTTCACACAGTACAGTCCTAACTGACAGCAGCACAAACTCATTAACAGGCGGCGTGACCGAAGGTGCTGCTGCCAGTGTTTCTGTATGAAAGCACCTGCTGAGGCACCATAACATCTAATCATCCTTATTACACGGTTCTCTGGAGTTTTTGACTTTAATTAATCAATCGCGGCATCCAATGATCAGAAATGTCCTATTATGTGACCCTGGACTACAAAACCAGTCTTAAGTCGCTGGGGTATATTTGTAGCAATAGCCAGCAATACATTGTATGGGTCAAAATTATCCATTTTTCTTTTATGCCAAAAATCATTAGGATATTAAGTAAAGATCATGTTCCATGAAGATATTTTATAAATTTCCTACTGTAAATATATCAAAACTTAATTTTTGATTAGTAATATGCATTGCAAAGAACTTCATTTGGACACCTTTAAAGGCGATTTTCTCAATATTTTGATTTTTTTGCACCCTCAGATTCCAGATTTTCAAATAGTTGCATCTCAGCCAAATATTGTCCTATCCTAACAAACCATGCATCAATGGAAAGCTGATTATATTATTATTTATTCAGCTTTCAGATGTTGGTGAAATATCAAGAAAATAAAAATAAATTTAAAAAAATTGACCCGTATGACTGGTTTTGTGGTTCACTGTTGTCTGTAGGAATGCTGTCATCCGCTCATCCGGGTAACTGAAACTGGCGTTACTTTCACGTCTTTACTTTACGCACATCTCGCGCTCTTCATACACACCCAACTAGCGCCATCTTGCCTCTCGGTTATCGATTATAAAAAAATTCACCTCAGGTAACTTGAATATTGATATTACCGTAATATTTTTGCAAATACTAAAAAAAACAAATCTAGTTATATCAATTGTTACTGGAATATATATATGTGTTGCTATGCTGATTGGTTTGTACATGGTGACAGATTGCGTTTTTTCTTTAAGATTTAAGATAATATAGAGGTAATTATAATAATATCAACTCAAATTAATATTACATTTACGTTTAGTCCAGTTAGTTATAAATAATAATAGTTCAAATCAATTTCATTTTTATTAGTGTTATTTATCAGTCAAAATGTATATAAGTTATACATTTAAATACATATATAAGCTTATATATTTATATACATACTATTGCAGTGTTGTGTTCTGAATAAATAATACAAATTTAAGTTAAAAAAATTAGACGGTATGTAAACATAATTTTGTTACAAAGAACATTTTTATTTATCATGGAGGCAGTGATTCATAAAATGATGATCAAATGATGAAGCAGCATTACAACCAAGCATACTTTTGTTATTTTAAAGGGGTGGTTCATTGCGATTTCACTTTTTTAACGTTAGTTAGTGTGTAATGTTGCTGTTTGAACGTAAACAATGTCTGCAAAGTTACGAAGCTGAAAGTTTAATGCAAGCAGAGATATCGTCTTTTAAAATTCTGGCAGTTTAATGCCTACAAAAACGGCTGGTAGGGACTACAACGAGTTACTTCCCGGGTTCGTGACAT